TTGAAAAACGTACGACGCGCGCCAAAGCATAAGTGATGTCAAAGTGTTTACAAAGAGTGAAGCAATAGTGCGTTTAATGCTATGTGCTATAGTGTCTCTGTTGATGTTGATCGCTGACGTTTATAGTGGTAGGTCGACCATATGGGTGATAGGAGGTAATGCAAGTGTCTAGATCGGTAGAAAATCACATTTTCTTTGATTTGGGAGTAAGGATTCTCAATATGTTGATTTTCTGAAGACTTGGACTGAACAGGTCAACTCCCTTGCTACTAACATTTTTTGTCTTTTTTTGGTCATCACTTTTCGAGTTTTTTCCATGATTGGTGACATTTTTGATAATAACTCAATTTGCCTCCACGAGATATCGCTCAAAACTGGCTGAAAGTCTTGCTTCATCGTCATGAAGCTACCAATATATTTTCAGAACGGTTTTCTAGCTGTGAAAGGCAAGGGGGAAAGCAGTAATCTAGTACTGCATTCAATGCTATTCACTGCAATCCACTGCTGTCATCGATTGATGTACTAGATTACTGTTTTGACAGGCCCTCAGTCCCCTCATTCCTGGGAGCCCAACAAACCCTGGATCGCCTATAGTGGAATATTTGATAGTAATCGATAAAAATTACTATAGACTAATCAAAATCATGAGATCGAAGATTGATTTCTTCAAATGTTCAAAAAAAAAAATGATAATTTTGAATACAAAGCAATTAACCATTGCATTTTTACAAGTAAAGGTACTGTAAACAATAACCTTTTTCTCCCGGTGGTCCCACTAATTGACACTGAAAATTAAAATTTAAACGAATTTAATTAATGATTTGAGTTTTTTTTCCAAACTATTACCGTGTATGTTTTTATAGTAACAATTGAACTCAGCAGAATAGTCGCAGCAAATCTGGAATAAATGATTTCTTTTATGTAATAAATGAATAACCAAAAATAAGTTTTTTCATTGGCTCCATTGAAAGAGGAACACCAACGAACGTACAATTTTTCGACTTACCTCATCACCAACATATTCATTTTTGCAAAAATGATTGAACATAAACAGCAATCGATCTTCGAAAAAATCGCCTGAAATGTTTGTGAATATTTATAATTCGAATGAAGGTGTATTTAACATAATATTCCATACCCAAAATTAGAACACAAACAATTTTCTGAAAGCCCAATTTTAATTCAATTTCCAAAGCCAAGCCAAGCCAAACCAAACCGTTCTCTTGAGACACAATGACTGTTCTCTTCAAATGCTCAGCAACTTACTTGCTTACAAACGTCTGTTTTTCTTTCTTGAGTGTATAATCAAATGTGATGTCACGAAAAAAAAATAATTTTGGACTCTAGGGAAAACAAATCTACTGTACTTTAGTCATCAATTCAATTTTTTTCCCTGAATACGTAGATAACGAACTTTCTTTAATGAAACATTGGTCTAGCTGAAAACAAAATAATCGCTAGCAATGAATTTATGAAATATTCTCTCATTAACAGTATTGCCGGACTGAAAAATGTTTACAGAACAGTTATCGTTCTCAGAAAATTGAATTATAATATGGATGTTACTTATCACTTGTGCGAGTAATATCAATGTCAAGCCATTGCTGTGCCAATCAATATTTACTGTCGATTTTTCAATTCACAAGATTCTATATTAAAACACCCACTTTAGTTCAAAGTGCTCATGACGGCAATTTTATTTCAATTCCAATCAAAAGTTACAAAAAAGTGTTGTACAATCTTAAATTTTAATTTTTTTCGAACATATAAGATGATTGGCGGTATTATCTCCAAACTGTTTGAATGTGTTGGTCTTCATTTTTTCGAAGCATTCATCGACTGGTAGAATCAGTGATGCGCGTTGATCTTGTGGAACCTGTAAAAGAAGTTACTATTTTTTTAGGCACTTATTCAATCACATGTTATAGTCCATTGAATTCACCTCTCTAATGTTGGTGATCTCAGCTTTGATTTCCGATCGAATTCTGTGGCGAAACAGGATCAAGCATTCAACGGTGTCATCGAACGCTTTTTGCATAATCGAATTGGCTCTGTCTACTGCTTTGCTATCGCAATCCTTTTGATCAGAAATTAACATCGCTTTATGCACGGCATATCCATTGACTTGTGTTTGCATGGTTTTATTGAACTCTTTTAGCACCTCTTTGAGAATTGGATTGTCATCGCGATAAGCGGTTGTTTGTTCTGGTTTGCCAGCGTTCAAGTATTCTTCGAACAATGCAATTCGGTCCGATTTTGTTCCACCCAAATTTCCAGTCACTGGCGGTGCGGGTGTCTAATTGAAATAAAAATAAATGAAAGCCTAAATTTGTCACCTTTGAATATGAAATTAGCAAATGAGAAAGATACCTACCGAAGTAGTAGTAACTTCTTCACACTGCACACTCAAAACCAATGAAATTAACAAAATAACAACTGAAATCATTTTTAAAGATGTTCACAAGAAGACGATCGATGCCACACTAAATCGAGCTCAATGGTATGTGTCGTGGCGAATGCTTTGCCTTGAATTTTGTTGACTGGAAAAGAAGTGCTTTTCGTATTCGTACACCGAAAAAAAACGAATAAAGTCCAATGAAACGATTCACACAGAATAGCAAAATAATAGCAGACAAAAACCATTCGATAAAACCGGTTCTCTTGCAGTGCGACAAGGTCAGTGTGCGTGCGCGAGTATCGTCTCTTTAAAAGAACAAGAACTGCGTCTGTGTGTGCCAAACCGGCTACAGAAGAAGAACAACGAACGACCAACGAATTCGAACCAAAAGAAAGAAACATCCGAGCGATGTGTGTACGAGATTCATTGGGCAAAATAAAACAGTTGTTGCATATTATTATTATCTTTTTTCTTCAATGTATTGTATTTGTACAAATTTTTTTTTTATCGATTTCATCTCTTAAGTCTATACATTAAGAAGATATTTGGCAGTTTCATTTGATTTGTAACTAAAAAAAAGATTTGCATTTAAAATTCTTATTATTTTCTTGTTTTTCTTTTGTACTAACAAAATACAAAAATTGTTGTTTGTGCTTTCGAAGGGAAAAAAACGGTATTGGTTTATCTAATGGAAATATATTACATATATTTATCCTTTTTTTTCTCTTTTATTTTACAGATAGAACTATCACATAACGTTAATTCTTTCACTGTTTTCAACTGAATATATATAGTAAAAGTATGGGTGTTAGTGGAATTTCATAATAATGGATATTGCCAGCAAAGTTAAATCGGTGTTTTTGTGTGTGTTCGTTCTTTGTTTGTTTTCATCTCTAGAGTGGTTTGTGGCATTGAATTTTTTTTTTCGACTCATCTCATTCGTATTGTTATTGCTATGCTAGTTATTCTAAACAAATAAATTTCACATTGACAAACATTTTCTTTTTGATTTTCATTTTTTTTTCGTTGACGGAAGAATTATGGAATTACGACATCTATTTTATAGAAAACTGTTAATTTTTGGCTCATTGTGTAAGGTAGATTGTTTCAATCGTAAAACAACAACGCATTTCGTTTCAATTTCTTTTTTTTCTAAATTATTTTTCTGTTTCGAGCAGACGATGCAGCGTCATTTCTATTTCTTTATACAGACTTGACATCTGGACAATCGTGAATAGAAGCTGCCTGCTTTGATGGTTTGTTGCAAAGGTTTTGTGAACTGTTCGGTTGCGTCTAATGTAACCAACCAGAAACTGGTCATAGTCTCGTAGAAGTGGCAGTGACCCTTTCCACCGTTACATTCGATGAATGGATTGGTGCGGAAATCTTGCAAACAAGATCCAGTTCCCGACAATGCTTGACCACCGCCTCCGTTTGCAACGCCAGTGTGCTAAACACGAGATTGAGAGAGAGAAAAAAGAGGGAACAATTTCAATTAAAGCCAAATTCGAAATGAATTCAAATAAGATTGCATTGGGCATACCATAAGGAAACTGTAGCCTTGCCAGAGTCCTTCCCAACCGTATGGACAGTCTGGCACTTGAATCGTTTGACTGTGCAATGTGATAACGTTTTGTGGAATTTCGCAAACAACACAACGTGAAATGTATTTCTCCATTTCACGATCGGCCACCGGCATCATTGGAATTGGTGCGGTTGTTGACAGCCAGAATGTTCGATCGTTTCGCGATGCATAGTTACAAACGTTGTTAACACCGCATGACAATGCTGGCAGTGTTGAGAATCGTCGGACGCATGAGCCTGGAGATCCTAAATCTTGATTATGTGGATAATCGTTGCCGTCAACGTACAACAACGAATAACCGTCCCACAATTGTGTCTGACCATCATCACAGCGTGGAATTTCAATGCTTTGACTGTGTTTTACCAACAAAATACCGCTGTAGTAGTCTGGTGCATGTGAGCAGTCACGACCGGAATCACCTTTTGGACCAATTGATCCAGGGCGTCCATCAAGACCTGGTGCACCAACCAATCCAAATTCACCTAAAATCCATCGATTGGAAAATAAATAATTTCTTAACTATATTCAAATCATCAAGTTAATCGATAACACATACCTCTATAGCCTGGTGGTCCTGGTGGACCGCGTGGACCTGGAAATCCTTGTAAACCGGTTTCACCACGAATTCCTAATGAAATGCGAGAAAAACATAGAATAATTTCAATATTCTTGAATTCATAATAACTACACCAACGAATCACTTTAAATAAAACATTTCGTTTTCATATTCAAATAAATCATACCTTGTAATCCTTCGTCACCCTTCAATCCAGGCAATCCGCGATCACCCTTTGGTCCGTTACTTCCTGGAATTCCGGGAGTACCTATTGCGAGTGGAAGAAGAATTGGTTAAGATTTGTTTGTGGAACAGTTACATCATTTCGAATGTATTCGAAAGCATTACCTGGTGGGCCTGGTGGCGAAATTAACCCTGGTTCACCTTTGTCACCCTTCAAACCGATAAAGCCATCACGTCCGTCTCTTCCACGTGGTCCTGACAATCCCTTTTCTCCCGGATAGCCTATAAATTAACATTCAGTTTGAGAATAATTTCATTTCAAAGCACGATTTGAAGAAGGTGTTGTGTTGAAAAATGTGAACATTTTACTTTTTCACAAACATTAATAGACATTGATTTTGATTGATTAATTCCATTTGATTTTATAAAAAAAATTTACTTTCGCACGTTTGACAAATTCTTCAAATCAAACCTTTTTTTGCATTGCATTGTATCATTAATTTGCTATTGATTAAGAAACTAACCTGGTGGGCCGGGTTGACCCTCTGGCCCTGGTAGACCGATATCTCCCTTTGATCCTTCTCTTCCGTTAATGCCTGGCAATCCTGGCAAACCACGGTCACCCTTCTCTCCAGCTGGACCTGAAGTTTTCCGAATAGATCGAATTGAATGCGTTTATAAATGAACTATTTCATGTGCTGTATTCCAATCAAACATTTTCACCAATCATTTAGACAAGAAGAAATTTGTTACAAAAGCAAACTAAATTGGATTGCTTCAACTCGATGCATAAATTTACCTGGAAGTCCTGGAGGACCAACATCTCCCTTCTCCCCTGTGAATCCGCGTTCTCCAACTACGCCTGGTGCGCCTGGTCGGCCATCGAATCCATTCATGCCTTTGAAACAAACACATTTTTTTTTAGTTATGAAAAAGACTTGAGCATTTTTTCTAATGAATGCGTTGTTTGGAAAACGATTATTATAAATTACCTGGAGCGCCTGATAATCCACGATCACCTTTATCGCCTCTGAGACCAATTGGGCCTGGAATACCTCTGATACCTATGCAAATGGGAAATTGTCAGAAAAAAGTACGATATTCGTCTAGCTTTTGAATGATCTCAAATTCATTTTGAAAAATTTCGCGACGAACAACTCAAGCGATTCAACTGTACAGCACAATCTCTTCCATGGATTTGGGTAATGTGAAAGTAAGTATGGGAGAGATACATTTGAACAGTTTGAATAATGAGTGAAAGAGTTCAGTCATTTTTTACGAAGTTGGTTGTTGCAATTTACCTGGAGGTCCTGGCAATCCACTTAAACCTTTGTCACCCTTTGGTCCAGATAAACCGATTGGACCTTCACGACCATGCTTTCCATGTAATCCAGGCAAACCTACGGATTAAAATTCGTATTAACAAATAGACGGAAGAAGAATATGAACACTGGTCTACTCAATGCATATGCTTGTATTTGCAAAGAAACAAATCATCATTACCTTTTTCTCCTTTGACAACTGGACCAATTTCACCGGTCTCTCCTGGGAAACCACGATCTCCCTTTTGACCGGGGAATCCATCCAAACCACGCAAGCCTTGTGGACCTATTCAAAAAATTCGAAAGAAAAATTATTATTTTTCCATTCTTTTACACCTTACAAGCATAGAATTCAATCAAACTGTCATTATGTTTAATTCGAATGCAAATTCGACAACTTTACTTTATGTCAATTCAAATGTACCTGATGGGCCTCTTTCTCCTTTCAATCCATCGAATCCAGGTGTACCTCGATCACCCTTTTCACCTTGAAGTCCGGTCAAACCAGTTAAACCAGCATCTCCTTTCTGTCCTCTAGCTCCTTTGATTTCAACGAGCTGTCCAACGCCACCTGGCTCTCCAGGCAAACCGATATCACCCTTCAAACCAACCAAACCTGAACATTTCAAAAGTTGAATCGATTAATATCTTATTCCATTTTTTTAAATTAAAACTTTGGCAAAATTTCAAATTGTAATGTAATTTCTTGGTTCAATTGAAAAATATAACATTTTGATTTACCTCTTGGACCAGATCTTCCGGTATCTCCCTTGTCACCCTTTTGACCGTCGAATCCATTGAATCCACGCTCACCTTTCTGTCCAATCAATCCATCGTAGCCGCGTGGACCTTGTGGGCCTGTTTCGCCTTGTAAACCATCCATACCTACAGAATTGCGTTAGAATTTTATTCATATGCACTTTATATTGTGATCATCATCATCATCATCATAAAATCAAGTCAAAGTTCAATAAAAATGTGAATTTTTTTTCTGACATATGTGATCGATCAGATATTTAGCGTTGTTTATAACCTGGTTGTCCTGGTGTGCCTGGTCTGCCAAGACCACCTTTGTCTCCTTTCAATCCAGGGAAACCGATTTGACCACGATCACCCTTTACTCCTTGTGGGCCTGGAGCTCCATCTCTACCATCAATGCCAGATTCTCCCTTTTGACCTTTCAATTGAAATATCATATTTTATTATTAACAAAGCATTTTGTGCAAATCGAAAATAAACCATTTGAAAAGTTTGCAATTTGGTGTGTTGAAAACATCAAATGCGATATATTTTATATATATTAGGTATGAAGCAATCATTTAATATTAAGTACACAAAAAATTGCAATATCTGCCTTTTATTTAGATTGGAAAAAGATTGAATAGCTTACCGGCTGGTCCTTGTCTGCCGTATCCTGGAATGCCAGCGTTACCCTTTTCACCTTGTAAACCTGGCAATCCATCAAGTCCATCTTCTCCTCTCAATCCTGGCACGCCTGGATCTCCCTTTTGACCTTTGTTCAAACATGAGAAATTATTAGTCAATATTTTGTATGTGAAATTTATTGATAAAACGCAGAAAAAACATTGTTTCTCCTTTTACGGGTAATTGGGAAGATATAACGAAAACCTGTCTTCATCAAAGTTAGTGTATTTATCAAGTTTTATTTAACACTTTTGATGAAGAGAATTTTGTGTTATTCCTCTTCAGTTACTCGTAATTCTTTCTTGAATTGAAGTAGAAAGAACATTCGTACTTTTATGCCACATCAATATTTATAAATAAAAATTTCATTAAAAATGTTTAATTATACCTTTTTCGGAAACACTTCCCGGTTCTCCTTTTGGACCGATTGGACCTGACACGAAGAACAAAAAAGAGAATGAAGAAGAAATGAGTATATTGTTTTAATAATTTAAACAGCTCAGAAAAAAAATGAAACAAATTCATTCTGAACAACCAAATTCAAGTGCTCTTCAATTTTGAATGTTCATCGCTGAAGATTTCTCTCAACGTATATTATTACAATGGAATATGAATATATTTCAAACAATTGCATTGTTTGAAGAACAAGTTATTCCAATTAAAATGAAGAAAAACACAAACCTGGGAAGCCGTGATCACCCTTTTCTCCATCTCTTCCTGGCACGCCGTCGAGTCCAGGCAAACCAACCGGTCCGGTATTTCCCTTCAATCCAACTGGACCAATTAAGCCAGGAGGTCCTATAAATCAATTTTGAAAATATACATTGTAAAACATAGAACAAATATATATCCACAATATTGAATCCAACCTGTGAGTCCCTGTGGCCCATCCAAACCGATCAATCCGATTTCACCTTTTTGTCCCTTTGCTCCTTGGAAACCTTGGATACCTGCACAAAAAATTTGAAAAAAATTAATTCAAAGTACCTCAAAATGGGAGTCAATTAAAAAAAGAAAATAATTTTCATCCGATATTTACCTGGTTCGCCTCTCAAGCCAGGAACACCTTTTGGTCCTTGAATTCCTTTAGCACATTCAGCACCTGGATAACCGCGGTCTCCCTTAATACCTGGCATTCCAATCATTCCGGTGTCACCTACGATTTCAAATTAATGTTATTTTTATTGCATCCGAATTCTTTGCAAAATCACCTTAAAGCTATTTCATTTAATTTCCGACCATTTTCGGTTAGAACTCGTTCGAATGCCATTGTGCGGCTCAAACATAAATTTCATAGAAATATGAGATGTTATAAGGGAGATGGTCTAGTTATGAGACAGCGCCAGTTATGAGACAGTCAATTATTTCTGTCATGCGCTATGGAAATGTTGGTATGAGAACTGTCAATGTTCTTTATTTGATGTCCGCCAGTTTTTAGGCGAACACCGAAGTGAATAGACGCATTGCTTGTATACGCACCAAACATCGTGTTGAAAATCGTGTGAAAAAATGATTTGGAATATTTTTCATAGTGCCAATTTTTTGTGAAAATCAAGTTAAAAAGGTGAGTGTAATGCATTAAAATGTTGTATTTTGATTATATTTTGTGATTCTAGTTCGGATTGTTCGATTATGTGTTGTGGAAATTTTTTTGTGAGTAATGTTCAAAATGGCGTCTCGATCCGGTTATAAGACACCGTGTTGCCCAGTTATGAGACACTCTAGATTTTGCACTGAAAGCATATAGAAACGTCATATTTCGTCATTTTTGTTGTCAAAACGCATTTATATGCAATTACAATTGTATTTTAACTAATATTCTCGGATTTTCAGCCATGTCTCCTCCAAAAAAGCTTCATTGCAACGGGCATTGCTCCATATAATCCGGACATCTTTACTGACGCTAACTTTGTCCAAGCCGTTGAACAAAATGACATAGAAGTGGCTATTGATGCTGATATCACCGAAGACGACCAGCGACGTATTGTTTTCAACGATGCCATTGATCCTGTTGGTCGTGAAGAAGAGGTGTTAACATCTGAGCCCTCTGAACTATCCAGCTCGGTGTCACTAATGTCTCTTGCAAGCAACACTTCGTCGGTTTTGGATGCGGTTGGCCCTCTACAAGGCAAAACTCCAAAACCAAAGTCGAATCGTGGACGAAAACCGATGGGAAGTGCTGAATTGACTTCTCCGGAAACCATGTCCGTTTTGAAGCATGTAAGGCCATTAAAGGCCCAATTTTCTATATTTAAGCCATTGAAGGCCTTTATAATAAATAAAGAATAATATTTGAACATTTTATGATGAGTTTCCTTCATATTTATTTACTTGTATTCAATTTTTCTGGGTGTCTCATAACTGGACCAAAATTTTTTTGGGGCCAAAAAAATAGTCCTCACAAAATTGGTCAAATTTTTTTTCGAGTAACTGGAATCAATAAACTTTCATCGGAAAAAAGTTGCGTCTGGACATAAGCTACATGATAGAACTCTAACTTTCCATTTTTGAAAGCCACAGAATTTTTTTTAAATCTAAAACAAAACCCGTCTCATAACTAGACCATCTCCCTTACAAAATATGACAGCTAACAGCTTGATGTACTACATTTAAATGTGGTCACTGCTAAATTTAAAATTTCATACCTGGTTCTCCTTTCAATCCAGGTTGTCCTCTGCAATTGCATAACGTTCAAAGATGTTAGTGTTGATGATTTTAATGATTCAACTGATTTTCGATAATTTTATCGAAATTGTAATTTGGGACCAATTGACACCCATAGAATAAAAGAACAACTTATGATGAGCTCTTTATCTATAATTGAGACGGAATAAAATTTAGAGCAAAAAAGAGACAAATAAAATGCAGAAAACGTTTTTTCCGCTCAATGCTGAGTTGTGTCACTTTTGCTCGCAACTTTATTTGTCTCTTTTTTGCTCTAAGTTTTTTCCATAGGGTGGCAGCATGAAGAAAATTCAAATTGTTGCGCTGTTTAGTTCGGAAAAAATTCCGAAATTACATTGATTTGCCTATTGAAATTGAGGGCGCTCGCGTCGCTACAGTTGTCATTTAAGTTGTTTTCGGTCTTGCTGCCATCCGATGGTTTTTTCCCCTCTCATTTATAGATAACGAGCTCATAAGTTGTTCTTTCATTCTAATCAACAATGACTTCAAACTATCGTGATTGTTTTCATAACATTTAAAAGGACTTTCGAACTTCAAGCTATCGAAATCCGAGTAAGTTTTGTTCATTTTTCACTGGCAATTATGTTCATTACCTGATACCATCCATACCAGGTCGGCCAGGTGGTCCGGAAATACCTTTATATAAATAATTATTGATTAATTTAATTTTTATTCATTCATTCAATTTTATCAACAATCAAAATTGAATAGTGAAATTTTATTCATTTTGATCGAATGGAAACAATGAAATCTTCATGAAATAAAATAAACAATATTAAAATAAGAATAGTTTTTATTTCTGAAAGCTTTACGATATTTGCATCAAAGATCAAAATTTTAATTTTCACTATATTGATATTGTTTGCATTGACTGTTTTACGTATGCGTTTGATTTACCTTGTGGTCCTTTTGGTCCAGTATCACCTTTTGGTCCGGTGTATCCAGGAAGCCCTGGCGCACCCGATAAGCCTGTTATAAAATAAATTTGGCGTTTGTAAATGAAAACAGCTCCAACTAGTAAAATAAAGTTCAACCTAACGAGCGATTATACTGCAATCAGCAGTAACTCTTATAGAACCAATGCTTGAATTAAAATTCTCTATGTAACGTGTAAGTATATGGTATTTGTTCAACAAAATTTCAAAGATGCTTTATACAAAGAAGCCACTTAACTCTTCTAAGCAAATATCAGAGTGTGAATATATTACCTGTATCTCCTTTTTGGCCTGGGTAGCCAACTTCGCCTGGTAATCCGTCCAAGCCTCTCTCACCAAGAATTCCACGCTCACCCTTCAATCCGCGCATTCCAGTGTTACCTTTTTATGTTAAAAGTAAAGAATAAAACACAACATTTGAAAAATCATTTTAACTCTATCTACAGTATTTTAACTTCAATCCGCCCAGGAAACCGAACGAAAAAGCTCAAGATTTCAGAAATGAACTTGCATACTTGGTTCGAAACGGTTTCTGAGAAATGATTCATTCCAATGGATTAAGTTGTTCATTCTAAGAACATACCTTTTGGACCTGGTGGTCCAACCATTGAAAGCCCTTGTTCTCCTTTGCCTCCCTTTTCTCCTGGTCGGCCGGGAATACCTCTTGATCCATCTTTTCCTGGTGTTCCGGGGAAGCCGATCGGTCCATCGTTACCTATTTAATCAATCAATCAAAAATTATTTATTGCTCGTACCAACAAAATTTGGGAGATAATTCGGTTTTTCCTTCTTTTTACCTTTATCTCCTCGCTGTCCTTGCAACCCTCTCGGGCCAACCGGTCCTGGAAATCCAACTGGTCCTGGTTCTCCCTTCGGTCCATCAGCACCCACATCACCATATTCACCGCGTTCACCTTTATTTCGACAGTTGATATAATTTTATAATGAGTTGGATATTTTGTAGAAATGTTCAATTCGTACAACACAGTGAAGCGCAATGGTAATAAATTCAGCAAATCCAAAACCATTCAGAGTTCAGTTTGCATTGTCCCTATCGGAAGATCACTGACTTGTATCTAGAGTTTAAAAACGCGTTATTTTTTCAGTGTTTCCAAAAAACGTTTTTTTACAGAGCCGTTATAAAACGCCCAAAAAACGTTTTTTTCGTTTTTTATCGTTATTTCTTCAAAAAAAACACTACAGAAAAATAACGTTTTTATAACACCGTTTGCGGTATTTGTCGAAACGTTTGTAAACCATACTTGTATCATGAATGACGTTCATCTGACAAATGCCATTTCCAACATTTGAATAAACCTCATGACGAAAGCATTTACTTATACTTTCAAACTGTACCGTATAGATGCCCTTAGAGCATTCATTGCTGAATATTTTTCATTTACAGCGCACTTTGTTGAATTCGTATATCATTCAAAATGTTGATTAATTTAAAAAATTACCTTCAATTCCTCGATCTCCAAGCCCGCCTTTGTCTCCCTTTGCGCCTTTTTGTCCTGCAAAATTTACAATTTAATCAAACGGCAATGAGATTATTTTATCTTGTGTACATTTAATGCAATGTATGAAAGATGATGTATCGAACTTATAGTTTACCTCTGGCGCCAGCTATGATATTTTCTGGACAGCTGCTCGGATCTCCTTTTTCTCCATCACGACCCGGCTCTCCTTTATCGCCGCGGTCACCTGGTCGTCCGTCCAATCCCTTATCACCTAAGCAATTAGAATGGAAATCACGACAATACACATGACTCATATCCATATCCTTTCACAAATTCATCCGCTTCTTTACTTTATTCGTTCAATTTACCTTTTATGCTGAATCCTTTTTCTCCGGGAATTCCATCTAAACCAGCACGGCCAGGTGTTCCATCTAAGCCTGGTGCACCAGTGCGACCTTGATCACCTTTCTGGCCAGGGAAACCTTAAGAAAGCATTTGAATTGTTGATTTAATGTTATACTTTTGTAGGTTATTGTTAATAGCAATTTACTGGCATCATATGATCTCATAGGTATGTCAATTGAATTTACCTGCAAGACCTGGGTATCCGGGCGTTCCTCTTGGACCATCGTTTCCTAATGAAAATAGTTTAAATTAAATTAGTCCAACACTCAAACAACGCAAAATGTTATCATTCATAAAAATTGAATGTCATTTTGCAATGATATTATCAATTCACATACCTTTTGGTCCGACACGTCCCATTTCACCGCGTTCACCTTTATCTCCTTTCTCGGTTTTGATTAAATTCCATGAAATGGTTGCTGACTCGCCACGTGGTCCTTCAGCTCCTGGTCTACCAGGCAAACCTATTCATACGTACGCATTTTTATATTAATCGATCTTTGGCTTAGGAGCTTTCACTCAGCGTTTCAGTCAAAATGAAAAATATTCTGCCTGATGTATCAAATAACTTTTTCTTACCATCAAGACCAGGCGCTCCAGTTGTTCCCGGTAATCCTGGGAGACCATCAGCTCCTACTTCTCCCACATAGCCTCTTTCGCCTGGAATTCCAGGTGGTCCTATACGGGAAAATAAAAAGAAAAGAAAGAATTAGTAAAACATTTAGAAGAAGCGAAAATAAACGCTTTGTGTGTTTTGATATATAATATTTATAGCTCTGTGAGTTTGCAAGCGAGCTTCTTTCAACGATCCATTGACAATACATTCTATTATAAAACGGTAAAATCAACTCACCCATAGCTCCTGGAATGCCATCAAAACCACGTTCACCTTTATCGCCTTTGAATCCTGGTCTGCAATCCGAGCAACGTCCACCAATATCACCTATTCAACAGCAGCAATATAATTGTAATATTTGGTTTTGTCCCATGTATTTACCAGAGCGAACGAAAAACTTTTTTGCTATTTTCTTACCTTTTTCTCCCATATCTCCTTTGAAACCTGGAATTCCGGGTCGTCCAGATTCACCCTTTTCTCCCAATGGACCTGGTCGACCGGGCAAACCTAAAGTCAACAAATTCGTACATCGATTAATGATCAAACTCAAGCTGTTAATGTATCAATTCATAATTTATTTTGAAATAATTTGCTCAAGTTTGCTTATTTCAAACGTGTTGTTCAATTGTACTCTGTAATTTACCTGGTTTTCCGTCTCTCGAGTCTCCTGGAGTTCCAGTGTTTCCTTTAAAACCTCTTTCTCCCTTTTGTCCTTTTAAGCCTGGGTATCTAAAAATGTTTCAAAGTGAATCGCATCATCAGAATACTTTCAGTGTTAAGTGTTAAAATAAATCTATTATATGTGGTGTTGATCAAATTCGCTCTATTTAAAAAGCACAGACAAAATCGTGATAAAAATCCATATGTTGGTGAAATTCACTTTCTTTTTTTATACATATTTATTTCGAGTAAATACAACACCTACCCTGGAATGCCATCTTCTCCTCGTTCACCAGGCAATCCAAATCCTGGTGTTCCGGTGTCACCACGTGGCCCTTCTGGGCCTGGTGCTCCAGATGTGCCTATTATCAAATAATTTAAAATTGAATTTATGTTCCATTCGCACACTAGTTGAATTGGTACACTTTAGTTGAATGCATAGGAATATTCATAAGCAACGACATTTGCTTAGCTTCTTTTTAACTAACTAAATGTCGCATTCAATGAATTTTCTTATGCAATCAATTATAGCTGTGCCATATTCGTATCTTAATAACCATCCTAATAATTTTGAGAGATTATTGAGATCCGATCATAATACCGATAAATCTTAATAACGCTATCAACTTTTTATCAGGTTATTAACTATATTCAAATAATAACGTTATCGGATGAATCTTAATAATATCGTTTTGAAGTTATTAAGATCGAATCCTGATAATTTATCAACATTCAATCTTAATAATCATCAAGTTCTGGAAGTGGGTTTTGGTGGAT